TGAGCAATGAGTGAGCAATGAGTGACCAATGACAGCTGAGTGACCTCTGAGTGAGCAATGAGTGACCAATGAGTGAGCAATGAGTGATAATGAGTGACCACTGACTGCTGAGTGACCCTGAGTGACCAATGAGTGACCCCTGAGTGACCCTGAGTGACCAATGAGTGAGCAATGAGTGACCAATGACAGCTGAGTGACCCTGAGTGAGCAATGAGTGACCAATGAGTGAGCAATGAGTGATAATGAGTGACCACTGACTGCTGACCCTGAGTGACCAATGAGTGACCAATGAGTGACCAATGAGTGACCAGTGACTGCTGAGTGACCCTGAGTGACCAATGAGTGAGCAATGAGTGAGCAATGAGTGACCAATGACAGCTGAGTGACCTCTGAGTGAGCAATGAGTGAGCAATGAGTGATCAATGAGTGATAATGAGTGACCACTGACTGCTGAGTGACCCTGAGTGACCAATGAGTGACCCCTGAGTGACCCCTGAGTGACCACTGAGTGACCACTGAATGACCCTGAGTGACCCCTGAGTGACGCCTGAGTGACCCCTGAGTGACCCTGAATGACCAATGAGTGACCCTGAGTGACCCTGAGTGACCCCTGAGTGACACCTGAGTGACACCTGAGTGACCCCTGAATGACTCTGAGTGACCCTGAGTGACCCTGAGTGACACCTGAGTGACCCCTGAATGACTCTGAGTGACCCGAGTGACCCTGAGTGACCTTTGAGTGACCAATGAATGACTCTGAATGACCCCTGAGTGTCCAGTGAGTGACCCTGAGTGACCAATGAGTGACCCTGAGTGACGCCTGAGTGACCCCTGAGTGACCCTGAGTGACCCCTGAGTGACCACCGAGTGACCAAGGAGTGACCAAGGAGTGACCGAGTGACCAATGAGTGACCATTAACCCATGAGTGACCAATGAGTGACCATTCACTGACCAATGAGTGACCCCTGAGTGACCTTGAGTGACCCTGAGTGACCCTGAGTGACCCCTGAGTGACCCCTGAGTGACCCTGAGTGACCATTAACCCCTGAGTGACCAATGAGTGACCCCGGAGTGACCAATGAGTGACCATTAACCCCTGAGTGACCAATGAGTGACCCCTGAGTGACCAATGAGTGACCAATGAGTGACCAGTGAGTGACCATTGAGTGACCACCCCATTGACCCATCTGACCCCCCCCCAGGAGGGGGCGGGGCTTGTAATTACGAATAAAGTGCTCTTAATTAATTGATTAATTAATGACTAATGACTCATTGATGATGTCATCGGGGG